GGAGAGGAGGGGAAGAGAGGGGAGAGGGAAGGGAGGGGAGGAGAGAGAAGAGAAAATAAGATGAGTCTTGGGTTTTTTTTAGTTTTATTGATTATAGACCCTCTAGTTCATTTTTGAGATAATAGTAATAGACAAACACAGTTGTAATGGCATTGCGTGCACACGCGCGCGCACACATACATATGTCTATCTGTCTGTCTATCTGTCTATCTATCTATCTATCTATCTATCTATCTACCTATCTATCTATCTATCTATCTACCCATTTTAGCTTATATACCCATGTATAAGAGAAAATATGGTGTCAGGGTTTTGCTATGCAATCAGCACAGAAAGTAGCACAATGGCCCTAGTGCCTAGAACTACATATAAAGCAAGGGACCGTTAACATCAGCCTAGAGCGGGGTCCTCTGGGCCTGATGGGAGTCCTGGACCACTGGTTCATCTTCTCCCAGAAGCAGTCTAAAGGCTCTATGCCTGAGTTCCTTCAGGATGCATCTTGCCTCTTAAAAAGTCTCAATGCAACTTGCCAACTCTGCTGTTGGATGGACAGGTAGCACATTAGACTTCTAAAGCATCTCAATATATTCAGAAATCCAGGCTCAAGAACCAAATTCTCTCCGTGCGATTGGTGGCCACGGCATCTTCCAGTTAGCCAATGTGTAGTTCCTAGTAATTCTCTACTTGTGTGGTTCTTGGTAAATGTTTACTTTATCAGGATTTTAGTAGCTCTTTCATGTTGTAAATCACTCACAAATGTGCTGAGATAAACATCTCAGTATCAGAAGGTGCTCTCCTTTGGGCTAAGCCTGCCCTTCTCCCCATGGTGAAGACATCCCATGACACAGAGCCTGGAGGTCTGGCTTGTCTCCTGCCCTCAACTCTCAGGAGGCAGTGATATGCAACTAGACTAAGAATGAAGAAGAGAATGAGCGTGGCAATCAAGATGGAGGGAAAAGAATGGTGAGCAGAGGAGAGACACACTACAACCGAGTTCTGGGGTCTGTGGAAGACAAGCCTTGCCTCGATACCACCGATAGCGAGCACAGCAGAGGGGCTCATTAGGACCTGCAGACATTCACATAGGGGAAACGATACCTGAGCCAGGCCTGGTAGGGCGGCAGAGCTGGAGACTGAGGCTCGCAGCTCAGAGTCAAGGTCTATTGAAACAACAGGGAGTTCATGGCCAGCCTGGGCAGCTTGGCTGAGAACTTGTTTCAAGATGAAAATTTAAAGGGATACATACTCATGAACGTATTCTTTATACAGAGTTTTACAGCAACATTCGTAAGGAACATTGACATTTCTCCTTGTGGTGTTTCTGGCTAGCTCTAGTCTGTGGCCTCACAGAATGAACCAAACGATCTTCCCTCTTCAGGCTTTTGAAGAGTTTTAGGATTTGTATTTGTTCCTCAAATAGTCGATAAAATATACCAGTGGAGCTATCATTTTTTCTTTGCGGGAAGAGTTTTAACTATTGATCTAAGCTCTTTACTATTTGATTTTAGAAATCTGCATGGATTTCTTTCTTCATACATTTGTCTTAGAAGATCCTCAGGAGTCTGTCCATTTTATTGACCTCTGGATTTTGTTGGTATTCCTGATTTTATGTTTTACATCAAAGCCAGCACATGACATTGCAAGCCTCCAATGCTCTGGTAGAGTTATGAACAGATGCTAGCAGTGTGACTGTTCTCTGGGTCAGGTACAAAGTACCATTGCTTTCTCTTTTGACACAAACCTTCTTTAAAGACGTATGTCTTTTTTTTAAAAAAAAAAATTATTTATTTATTTATTTATTTATTATTATTTATACGAGTATACTGTTGCTGTCTTCATACACATACCAGAAGAGTGTGTCAGACCCAATTACAGATGGTTGTTAGCCACCATGTAGTTGCTGGGAATTGAACTCGGGACCTCTGGAAGAGCAGTCAGGGCTCTTAACCACTGAGCCGTCTCTCCAGCCCAATATATGTCTTAACTATATTTCTTAAGGTTGGAAAATTTGAAGGCATATTGAGCAAGTTAAGTAGAGACACAGAAGAGAAGACTTTAACTTGGATGTTTAGGGATAGAGACTATATAATTCACACATGAGAAGTGACAGTGGAAATGAATAGTAGCAGCATTAGAAGCCACATCAGGGAAGGGGCACAAACTGAGAGATCGTGACAGAAACTGCCCGACATAAAACACAGGGGAAACACGGAATTATAATTTAACAGACCAGCAAGGAGCATGGAAAAATTTCAAATGGCCCAACACACATGAAGCTGCAAAGATCCAAGGAGGGAGACTGTAGGGACAGGGGACAAGGGCAATAATTGTTCACATTTCCCCAAATATAATGACTACGTCCACACAGTTCCAAGCACATCAGTGAATAAGAAGACCACCACACGACGTATACCAAAGTCAGCTGGCTGAAAGTCAGTGGACAGATCGTCAGCGCAGCCCTGGCAGTTGACTCCAGCCGTGGTAGGTGACTCCAACTCTTATCTCTGCATGTTCAGAACCAACACCATCACACCTCCCTGCCTCTAGCATTGATGGGCCAGAAGCCCCTCTTCATGGCACTCTCTCCAAGACAGGTGTCCCTACACCTTACAATCCTGTTCTTCACAAGTTCCAAACCAAACACCATGTATTCTCACTCCCCTGATCCAAGAACAGATGAAAGCAACTCTATCCTTCAGTCCCCCTCCTTAGGTGTGGGGTCTGCCTATTGTCCTGTCTGTGGAATTTTGGGGCTCTCCTTTTTCTATTTTAGTTAAAAAATCATAAGAAACATTCATTGTCCTACCTATTTTCAGATAACAGGGAAGGATGATGATACTGTGTAAGGAAAGACACAGGAGATTTTCATTTGTATATAATTTCAAATGCATTCAGAAAGGAAAGCCAAGAGTCTAAGTAGGCAGGAGCTGGAACTGGACAGCTCTTCAATCTACCCTTTTGTTCTCCACTTTGGGGTCCAGGGCTTTACCATGAAGTGGTTGGATTGGTTCTCTCCAAGGACACAGAAGGTTCACAGATGAAGAGGTGACAATGACCTTACATCATCATCATCATCATCATCATCAGTTTCAAGTCTCCAGTATCCTTTCCTGACCTCCTGGAAGTGGGTGTACTCTCCTGTCCCATGGATTCATTGATATCTTTACCTTCCATATTTACGGCAGCTCTGACAGGACCCTGTCTCAGACATCTAGACAGCAGCTCTGACAAGACTCGGGCCCCAGACAGACATCAGGACAGCATTCTGACAGGACTCTGCCTCAACCTTCTAAATTTTACCACCCCTCAGCGTCCTGTATTCCCAAGTTCATTGAGTCCTGAGATCACCGCATCTCTGATACGTTTCCTTTGTATAATACACAGATATAAATCATACCCCCTTTGTATCATAACATATAGATATAAATTACACCAATTTTTTCTCTGTTGGATATGCTACTTTTCAACCAGGTGATCTTAATATTTGATTTTTATTTTGCCTTTCAGAGCCATCTCTTTTTTCAATCTTCTTTTTTCAATAAAGGGCTTATAGAATATAAGACATCCAAACTAATTCTTTCTCATCTCACGTCTGCTAAGGATGATGGAGAGAGAGAAGTAGAAAGCAAAGGCTGCCATGCCCTTCATCATCTGGAAACTTGGCCCCGAGAAGTTGCTCGAAGTTACTACAGATGTCCAGACACGTATTCAGTTGGAACACTTTTTAATAACAAACACAGTCTGCATGGGTTGTCACTCTTGTTACTCTCAAGTGATGGTAGGATGCAGGGAAGAGAAACCAAGGGAGGCGGAAAGCAGAGGAACCCAGGGCAGTGTCCTAGACCACTCTGCACAGACACACCCTTGAGCCTCCTTTCTAAAGGGAACTTCTCTCCTTCTGTTCAACCCAAAGGCTCAGTCTACAAAGCAAACGTCCTTGTGTTGATGAGATAGAAGCTATTTATTAATATAGAGCAAATACTGTTTATTGCAGACTCTCTCCAGCTGACTCATGTGAAAAAGGCACTATGAAAAATTAATGAATCTAGATAATCTCTCTAAATGGATTTATGTTAAAATATACAACATTCTGACATAACATCTTCTTTATATATGTGAAATAACATTATGTTTAATGACAAAACCTGTGTTTCCAAAAATAACATTTGTTGAAGGTTAGCGATGCGCCTCCTCTCTATCTAGACTCTTTCATGGGGTTAAAGTACATGTAAATTAAGTGTCCCTGTTACACAGATAAAACACATAAAATGACCCAATATCCTTTGACTACTCATTTATATCAATATTTATAACTGAAGCCTTCATTAAGCAAAATATTGTCATAAACACCAACGTGGGCTACCTTGATTGACTGTGAGTGCATGTGTCTTACTCTTGACTTGTGCTTTCTCATGTTTAATTACACTTTACATAATAAGCAGAATAGAAACTAAATCAAAGCATAAACTAGGCAAAATTTTGCAATCAACAGAGCTGAGAGGAAGTTTCTTGGGGATGTATTACAGTCTCCTATTCACACGTTCAAGGTCTGGCTATATTGTACAGTTCATTCAAATGCGACTTTTAAAACTGTTGGCACTAAGAACTTTAAATAAAGCTAAATACACTCTCATTGGGTATGTCAGAGGACACACCTCAAGTAAGCAGAGGGTAGTCTAACTGAGCCTCCTCCCTGGATGACAGGCATCCCAGTCACTGAAAGCTGAGACCATTTTCACTGATGGCTGTGGTTTTTTTCTTTTGGAATGAATAAATCTGCCATTGTAACATATCCCCAGTCAGATCATCGAACAAGGCTGTGATAATTAATGTAGCAAAGGGGACTACACCTTAGATAAGTGGAAAAAAATATTTCCCAAGCTGAGAACAGTCTAAAACTTCTGTTTTTTTTTTAAATTAAATTTTCTTTAAAAGTTTTTAAATTACATTTGTTACTTATTTATTTATGCGTGGTGGTCAGAGGACAACTTGCAGAAGCCAGCTCTCTCCTTCTACCATGTAGCCCTAGGGTCTCGAACTCAGGTCATCGGGCTTGGCAGCAAGCACCTTTACTTGCTGAGCCATCTCTCACCTGCCCACTTCTCAGTTTTAATCAAGACAATGGGCACAGAAGCAGCAAGTCCTCTGCTTACTCAGGTATATACTGCTTCCTTTTATGGCGATACATGACATATACCAAGACGGTATAGATCTGACATTCCCTTCAAGGCTTCTTCTAACAAAGCATGTCCAACACTGTCCAACAACCATGCCAAGAATAACAGAGCTCGAGGAATCAGTGGCTGCTTCCTTCATCGAAAGACTCCACGCCCGAGTCGCTGGCAGCAGCACTGATCTTCTCCTGGCGTCTCCGCATGATTTCTTGTAGCTCAGAGCTTCCATTATTGTCCTGAAGAACAAACACAGAGCAGACAACATAGTTACTGGCTCGTGTGTACTGGCTGTACAGTCGTGGAAGGGCTCAGGCGTAGTCCACAGTGCCCCCCATACCCCTGACCATTTCTTCAAGAAAGTGGGATCTGCCCATGAAGTTGCTAGATTGTAGCAGCCCATCAGATAAATGACTCTTAACACAAGTTCCTCACCGACACTGACTGAGCCTTTCAGTTTAACATAAGGACCGATCAGTAGTGCATGCAGAATGTTCTAGTCTTGCCAACACAAAGATGGTAAATGTACACGGAGTCAGTTGTCAAAGAACCCTTTGCATATGTACATGTGTTTACATAAGTGTGCACATGTGTGTTCAGGTACACATGTGTAAGTGCTCACATGCATGTGGGGGTTAGAGATCATTGTGGCTGTCTTCCCTATTACCTTTCCCATCATTATTATTATTTTATTATTATTATTATCTTTCTTTTTTTGTTTGAAACGGTGTTTTACTCTGTGACCCTGGCTTACCTGGGACTCTCTACGTGGACCACGCTGCCCTGAAACTCACAGAGACCTTTTCACTAGGACTAAAAGGGTACACTACCACACTTGGTCCCACCTTAGTTTTTGAGACAGAAGCTCAGATGAAATCTGAGGCTCATTAGTCTGTTAGCCTGGCCCACCCAGGAATCCTCCTGTCTCCGTCCCACTCCCTCAACCCCAGGGCTTATGCAGCCCTGTGTACTTTTCAGGTTCACGCTCAGGATCTGATCCCAAGTCTTCATGATTATGAAACAAGTACTCTATCCCCTGAGCTGTCTTTCCACACCTTCCATGACCTGTCAGTCAGTCAAGGCACTCCTCTCCACTTAGAGACTTTTAAAGGGTGTCTTCAGAATGTCATTTCCCTTCAGACAACTCTGACATCATGCCAGCTCACCCACTTCCCAGCTCTTCTGACAATCCCCAGTACCCTCTCCTAGTCTCTCTGCCCACTAAAGGTTCTAGGATCAATCTAGGGTGCTGAGAACTAAGCAAGGAACTGGACCCAAGGCCAAGAAGCACAAGGAAACCTGACATCAGGTTTTTGCCTCAGTCAACTCCCAGAGCAATCAGAAGCAGGAAGCAGGAAGCAGGAAGCAGGAAGCAGGAAGGATGGGCAAAGATAAGAACAGGATGTCTCGGAAGAATGAAACTTAGGGATACAGAATTTTCTAACATACCCTTGAGAAGTAATTTATATATTCTTATCAAGATTAGAAAGTATAATGGTAATAAAACTACTTTAGGGAAGACATAATGCACACTCTATGTATGAAAAGCAACCATCAGACCGGAACATAGAACCTTCCAGAGCCACGCTGTACGGAAGAGTTCTCAGGGTAATGGAATTTCTCTTGAAGGAGAATGGCCACAGGGTTATACACACAATGCTATTTTTTTTGAGTTATTTAACTGTTCAATTTACATACTATACTTGCTAGGGATAATTAGCTGTCAGCTTCACGTTGAATCCTATATCCTTTTATTTGAGGCCAACTATAATTTTCACAAAACTATAACTCTTACAGAGCCAACTTTGAACAGAACAGCTTGAATACCTCCAGCCAAACAGAGGCTCATTCACCCTCCAGTTGTTATGCAGTCAGCAATGACTAAATAATTCTTCCTGCAGTTGTATATTTTTTCTTTAAGATTATTTTACTTATTTATGTGTGTATCTTTGAGAACATATCAGTGTCAGAGAATATGAGTGTCTGTGTGTGTGTGTATTATATATGTATTCACTCACAGGTCTGCCTGTGCATATTCAGAGCCCAGAAGAGATGTCAGATCCCCCCAGAGCTGTAGGTAGAAGCATTTGTGGGATGCTTATATGGTTAAATATGTGCAGGGACTGGAGGCTCTGGCCGCCATTAGTGTGTACAGTTAGCTGCTAAGCTGTCTCCCTGGCCTACAGCTACACATTCTTAATGACCTTCCGCAATACTCCTGAGGATTCTGTGGGTGGATAACTCGCCTTGGGAAATGCATCCAGGGCTTTGGTTTGTTGGAGAAAGGATCTCAGCAGGCCTTGAACTTACTGGGTAGCTGAGGCTGGTCTTGAACTAAACTTTCTGCCTCTGCCAACTGAGGGCTGGATTACAGATTTGCCATGGCCATGCCCAGCCACTGCTTGGGTTTTATGTAGTTTTACATGTATGTGGGTACATGAACATATGAACATAGTTGTCCATGAAGGGCACTATCTATCCTGCTATAGTGCCCAACTCCTGAATCTGGAGTTACAGACAGTTATGTATGATCTTTTGTAGAAAACCAGGGCATGTTCTTAACAGGTGAGCCATCTCTCCAGGTACCTCGAACCTAGGATTTTATTTATTTATTGTACTGACATTTCCAAAATAAATAAAAATAAGAAATATATCCCTGGACTCTTGGAACATTAATCACTCAGGTATGAATTAGCAAAATGGAAGTTCTTATAGCAGCTCACATAATAAAATAAGAACATTGTACTTTTGTTAAATGTTCAAAAATAAAGCTCTAGTTGCCCTTGAAAGATAATCTTTTTGGAAATTGTTACTGATGGTATTTACTGGCAGAGTAGGAAAAACTGAGCCAAGTTTTAAGTTCATCTCTTCAGTGAGGAGAAATTGGCGAATAAAAACACGGCCACTGGGTCCAGCCCTCACTCTCTCTTAAAGCTGGTCCACTCCACAAGTCTTACCTCCAGAGCAGCTTTCTGAACAGTAATTTGGCTAAAGACTCTGGCACCTTCGGGACAGACAGACCTCAGTTCATCTTTGTTGAGAGAAAAGAGCTGAGCTCCGTTCAACACTCCAAGGCTGTTGACCGTCCTGCAATCAGAGTACAAGGACTTTACCATAGTGTCATAAATCAGCAAGAGAAAAGCTGCCTCTGTCTCTCTTCTTCAAGTTTTCACTTGGTCTGCTTAGCTTGCTCTATCTATCTATCTGTCTATCTGTCTATCTGTCTATCTATCATCTATCTATCTATCTATCTATCCATCTACCTATCTATCATCTATCTATCTATCTATCCATCTATCTATCTATCTATCATCTATCTATCTATCATCTATCTATATCTATCTATCTATCTATCTATCTATCAATCATCTATCTATCATCTATCTATCTATCTATCATCTATCTATCCATCTATCTATCATCTATCTATATCTATCTATCTATCTATCTATCATCTATCTATCTATCTATCTATCTATCTATCTATCTATCTATCTATCATCTATCTGTTTTTGAATGCTCATTTTATTTCATTTCTGAGCCAGGGTCTCATGTAGCCCAGGCTGGTTTAGAACTCTCTACATAGCTCAGGTTGACTTGGAACTGCAGGTCCTTCATCCCCTACTCCCAAGTGCTGGGACTGCAGGCGCAGGCCAGTACTGTGTGTTCCATATCCTTAAACAGTACTATGGTGCAGAGACAAAGGAATGCCCAGGGATGGCCATGGCCATGGCCCAGAGGCTCTTTCACACAGAATGACCAGTGAGCATGCAGAAGGACACAGCTGGTATTCTAATTATCAACCCCCTCAGGTTTATGTTTCTTATCGCTAACATAGCGACGGACAGCTTTTTAGTAACATGGCAACTGACTAACAACTGCATTTCGTTGTCAGTCATGCCAAATGACTGAGTTTCTATATTAAGATTACACAAACATGAATTATTCATGGTTCCAAGTATATACAAAACATCTACAGACTTTTAGATCAAAGATACTAAAGCAGTAAAGATCCCTGTGATTTACAGCCTTGAGACGCGAAATCCCGCAGCAAGACTTATGTTTCATGACCTACAAGGGATGGTCTAGCTAAGACCATTGTCTCCTTCCCTGTATAACTGATGATAAAGAATAAAACACCAGCAGTCCACACAGCTGGTAAAAACTGTTCAAGAAACTGCTGAGGGACACACACTACCAGCTAGAAGATAGACTAGCATTAGTCACTCTCTTCTTTCTCCCACTTCTACCTTCCTCTTTTCGCTGTGGAAGAGTTAGCCACCCTTTCCTCAATCCGTGACAAAGCATGTCACCTGGGCACTGACAACTTTTCAGAGTCATGAGTGGCACATAGGTGACCCAGCTGAGAAGGCATGAAGTCCACACTGAACACTCACACAGGGTTGAATCCCTTCGACTGTAGCCAGGTCTTTACTTCTTCCGGCGAGGAGTCGTAAGTGATATTGATCACTGGAACATTCTGCCGTGGCACGTGGAACTTCCTCTGTGCGGCACTGCGCCCGATGGTCAGCCTCTGGAAGAGTTCATCCTGCACCTCTTCCATCTGAGACTTCCTTCCTGGACACCGAGAGGGAACAGTCATGGTCAAACATCTCGAATGTAGTCCCCCTCCAGAACCCCGTTCCTAATCAGCCTCGAGTCCTGTGAAGTCTGCCATCTCCCCTCACTCGTACTTCAACCTGGTATTAACTGCATGATAAATTATTAAGGCAGCTCCCTGGCCTCTCTCTCGGCTCAGGCATCTCCATAGGCTGGGCCTTCACCTGCTCGTCTTTACATGAGACAGCAGCTGAGCACCTCACGCTTGATTTATGGTCAGGGTCCTCACTAGGCTGCCCGGGGCCCTGACTATCTCCTATACTGCTTTAAACCAGTGAGATCGAATCTCATCTAGAAGTCCTTCTGGTGGTCACAGCTGGGGACGGCCATGTTGTCTCCATGCAGTAGGCAGACAGCTGGAACACAGGAAACACCCCACAATCCCCATGGCAGTGTCCCATAACAGTCTGGCCTTGAATGTTAGAGTGCCTAGGTTAAGACCATATACAATCTTCTCTCCTTAGACAACTCTTTCATATCCAAGGCTTGTTCCACAGATCTCCAACCTATTTTTGATCCTCACTCTGATGATCAAATTATAAATTTTAGGAATAAAATTAAGGAGGTAAAAAGAAGCCTCCAAAATTGCACAGTGAATTCTGTGCCCATGTGGTCTGCGCCGTGGGATCCCGAAAATAAGTAAATAATAATCTCCTCCAAAATGTACCTCAAAGGTACTATGTCCAAACCCAAATTCTCAACATCTCCTCAATGCAGTGAGTTCATTGAGCATACTGGCTTTCTTTTTACATTAAGCTCTTTAATGGCAATTTCATCTTTCCATTTACCTCAGAACCACCCAGGTGGTGTCGCCCTTCAATCTCTATCAGACAGACTCGACTAGCAAATCCCTTGAGTTCCCCACTTCAAAATGTATCGCCAATCTTGCCTCCTCATTCTCTCGCTTGCTTCCAGCTTGGTCAGAGTCAGCAACGTACCACAGGTCTCTGCTTCCTCCCCCCCTCCCCATCTCCCATCATCCTCTGCTAACAGATCGACTGCAATGGTCCTGTTGGATCCTGCAGCTCCTGGGCTTCAAACCACTGCAGTGACAGTGCTGCTAGCCTGGTCTCTACCTCTCAGAGGAAAGTGTCTGTCTCTCCTCCAGCTTCCTACCCTAGCTGACATGGCATTGCTTCCTTGGTGCCTCTGAAGCTACTGGCCATCATGGCCTCTTTTGCCTGGAAACCCCCCCCCCACCTCACCAATATACCTACCTGACTCCCTTTGCAGCTCTGTCAGCTTCTCCAGTCCTGTTTAAAATGGTAATTTCCTTCCCCAGAGCATTTCCAATCCACATAGCTATGTTAGCTTCCAACACCTGACCATGTTACCAGTCCCATCCAGACACAGTCATTCACCTTGCCTTTCACCTCATCATTTCTCTGAGACCCTGAGAACCACCACGTTCCAATCATCATGTTATCTGGGTCAGGAAATGAAGAACGAAGAGAAATGATCTAAGTGTCTCTGTCAATTAGCCATAGAAATGAGCTCAGCCAGCCGGTCTGACTTTCACACCAGGTCTGTCCTATACTCAGATCAATGATGACCTTTGATGAACCTTCCCAGTATCCTCCACTCCTAGCCATGTGCTTAAGAATGAGCATGGTGTTATGAGAGAAATGGCAAGGGGATCATAATAAAGAGAAATAATACCTCTATGCATCAAAAGTACACGTGTGTATTTAGGTACCCTGCTATCTGTTGCTGCTTTCAAGAAATCAGAACTGGTATCATAATCCAATTAACTAATTATCTTGGCAAGTGTCGGTGACCCAATAGCTGAGGGAGCTTTTTATGCCATTCAGGGAAAGTGTTTGGTATCTCTGGAAAGTAAGTGAACTGTGAAATAATTAGTGTTATCAGAGTCTAATTTGTACTAAGTCTTCAAGTATGAGAGAAATGTTAACTTTAATTAGTTCATTCTTCAACAGTTTTCCCTCTCTCACTCTCTATATACATGTATATTATATATACATATATAATACAAACAAAAACATACAAATATATATTATAATGTTTGGCTCATATTCATCCTCCCCGTCTCTTATCCCAGTCCCCACCATGTCCCAGTTGTGCAACCAGCCTGCCTTTGGGTCCTCTTGTGTTTGCTTTGTGACCTACTCACTGGGTTTCCTCAGGGCCACTCACTGAGGCTTAGCATGAAGCTAACCTCTGGAACATCTGTAATTTACCAGTGATTATAGCACTAAGACAATGACTTTGTCTTCCTTAGCAGCACTGATGGCAAAACCTCTTAGAGAGAGAGCCCCTTCCCCATCTAGGAAATGGTTTGAAGAAATGAAAACAAAATTAAACTTAACAGAGAAAAAGAGAGAAAAATGGAGGGAGAGAGAAGAGAGAGGGTACTGTGGATGGAAAAGAGCTCCTGTGACCCAGGAGCTGCTTTTCAATCACCGGATGCTCTGCCGTGCAGGAGACAGGTTGGCCTTAAAATGACGAAGAGAAAACGCCACCACACTGAAACACATTGCCCCTTCCTCCCCACTGCAGAGAACCACAAGGCCACAGTTAGGCTTTCTCAGGACATTACAGAGATACCTCTTTCTAGAAGGCTTTGGTTTCTATTTTCAACGTTCTCACCTAAGAATAAACACACCTCCCCCTACAGTAACAGTTCTGATTACAAAGGATTGCAGTCCAGTCAAAGGGCTTAGATTTCAAAGGACTGAAGAAGAAACGCAAGGCAAACTAACAGGCCAGAGTCATCGGCATCTTCAACAGTGGCAGGAGGTGATGCTTTCTGGATCTGCGATGAACAGACGTGAACAGCTTAGGTGATGAACAGAGAGAGTGTTCCACTGTGGGTTTGTTTCGTGGCTACTGGTGTGTGTGTGTGTGTGTGTGTGTGTGTGTGTGTTGTCTGTTATGCACGTGATTTTGAGAGTGTATACTTATGTAGACTCTGATGTAGGTCAAAGGTCAGATGTCTCCTCCAATCACTCTCTGTTATACTTTCAGACAGAGTCTCTCACTGATCCTGGAGCTTGCTGTTGTGGCTGGATGACCAGAGAGCTGAGGATCTACCTGTCTTTGCCTGAATGAAGTTCATAGCCATGCCAGGCTATTTACATGGGTGCTGGAGATCTGAACTCAGACCCTCATGCGTGCATGACAAACTCTCCACACATCTCCCACCCTTTCCTGAATTTTCAGACAGACATTTGACATTTTGGCCTTGCCCATGGCCATGAGATTTGCACGAGTTCCCCCTTTTTAGCCTCTTCCTTTTATTTTTATCAGAAGTTTGGGGAATGAACAGAGACTGTACTAGCAAGGAGTTTATCTGGAAAGAAATGTGAACACACATGCCTAATTTTGCCATCTGCTAAATGACCATGAGATAGAAAAAAAAAACCGATCTAAAACTGTGTTATCCTTTATAAAAAGAAATAAATTTATTTAATGCCAAAATGCACTCTTGAGATATTTTAAAAAGAAATTCTTGAGCAATGAAATGAGGATATCTTACGTTAAGGAAGCAAGTCCATGTGTTAATCTGGTCTACTTTACAAACCCTAGGACTGTTCACATATGAAAAGCTGACCTAAAAATGATGAGTCTCAATTATCAGGAGAGTTTGCATACAAGAATTCAAACTATGCCTCTTCCCCAGTAGGTTCTTGAGTTTCTTCAAGTGGGACAAAGAACAGGCTGTTCCAGCCTATGTGCGGCTCCAAAAGAGGACTGGATGCCTCTGAACTCTTGACTCCAGGCCTGAAACAGCCTGCCACAGTGTCAGAGATCACTGTGCTGACGTGTTAGACAGAGTCATGTGTAAACTTGTGGGAAGAAAGGAGAAAAGAAGATTCATTTCTCAGGGGAAATGTTCCCCAGGGAAATGAAATATATTCATAGAACTTTTCCATCTGAAAACTATTTCTCTGGTATCTTTGAAAATGAAGCATCCCTTTAAAAGCTCAGAGTTACACATATTTACACAGTCAATTCTGATACAGAATGTGTTCTTTTTCCAGATTTTCATTTTTTTGTTCTATTTTACATCTGTCTGTCTGTCTGTCTGTCTGTCTGTATGTGTGTGTGTTCAGAAGACAACACAAGAGTGTTGGTTCTGTCCTTTTGCCATGTAGATCTCAGGGACTGAATTCAGGTTGGGCTTAGTGGTAAGTGTCATTTCCTACTGAGTCATCTTACTGACCCCTCTTTAATTTTCTAACGAGGTCAAACATGAATAAAAAGGTGATTTGAATCATTTATACTTCAGGAGAGAAACTCATGCATGAAATAGGCTTGTGTTTATTACATCTAGCCACTATTTCCATAACAGTTAAAGAGTAATACATTTACTTCTCCTCTCTAGTATTTTCCATTTATTGGGATTGATCATGAAGGGCACATGTAGCTAGAACCCACTGGGGACAAAAGGCACAAAAAAATTTAGGAATGTAGTTTGACCTGTGTGTTAATAAGGTTTGGTCTTTGGTTAGCTATTGTAATGCTAAGTGTGGACCTCCAAGACCTGGTTGTCCTAGAGAAGAGAGAGTCCACATATACACCTTGGCCCCAAGTTCTTTCTAATTGGTAAGTAAAGATGCCTACAGTCAATAGGTAGACAGAAGAGACATAGGTTTGCTGGGCTTGGAGTCCAGGAGGAGCAGGAGGAGAAGACTGTGCAGGAGGAGGAAAGAGAAGCTGACGTGGGTTAGGTGAGCCATAGAAACATGGCCCTGAGGGCTGGCCAATTGGAGTTAAGAGCAGCCCAGATGAAACATAGTAATTACTAAGTAATAACTCAGGGTTATCGATAGGAAAGTACATTTTATTAGCAACAGGCTAGGTATCTGCCCAGCTCTAGTGTTGTTTAGGGCTTATAACAAATATAAAGGCTATGTGTGTCTCTCATCCAGGAACTAAAGGGTCAAAGGTAGGGTAGAAACTCCAGGTTGAGATTCAAAATTTCTAGAACACCTGAGCCTCAGGTCTCTGATGTCAGCTATGAAACTGATAGCTCAATACAGGTTCCTGGTATCAAAGATGAGATTGTACAGTAAGACTGAGCCGGGAATCACTCTTTTTCCACAACATAAGTAATACTGAAGAGAATAGAAACAAACTGATCATTTATAGTAAGAGTAATTTATAAAGAGAGAAAGGCACAGGGCCTTGGGTGTGGCCCTAGGGCAGGATGGTAGATCTGTTTCCCACCTAACATGGCCCTCTTAAATTTTATATACTCTTCTCAAACTTCAGCTATAGGGAATGTTTTCTTGGTTTTAGTTTTCCAAGTTTTCTACAGTTAGTTACAGTCAAGCAGATTGACTCGCAGTGCTTTACAGATCCTGCAACATTAGACATGAAGCAGGCAGGCCCTAATGTACAAGGTACCCCAAAACCTCTCAGGGGCGCCTTTAGCTTTCAGAGTATCTACACAGCTCTGCCCCAGCAACAGAAAAGCAACTTTAATTTTGTTTATTTTACAATGGTTCTCAGAGAAACCATCCTCATGGGAAAATCCGTTTTAATTTGTGAAAATATGAAGTTGAAGTTAGAAGGAAATTCGACGTTGATACTGGCGGGCGACTGTGTAGCAAACATGACTGTGTGTGCGTCTGCGAATGGCAAACACTCGGGAGAGGACAAAGAGGAAGAGGAGGACATGCCAAGGATAGCCCCAGACATTTGCTGACTACTTGCTTACACTGGTCAAAATTAATCCGAGTTTTCAAGGCCAGCACTGTTCACATTTCCAGTTGTCTCACAAAGCACGGTATTGCCAAGCACGCCTGGTGAGGTGCCGGCAGAAGGCCTCAGTTACAACAAACAAACACAAACTTCTCAGGGAGAGGGAGACTGAGTGGCCCCCAAGCCCTCTACTTTGCCTATATTATCTCATTGAGTCTTCACACTTGTCCTAGGAAACAGATTAGCTTTGGTTTCCCCCAAAATACACAGAGAGGCTCACTAAAGCCTTGAAGTATGTAGGTAGGAAGGAATGTGTATGAGTTCATCCCAGTGTTCAACCAAGTGTGCATTCAACAGTCCCAACACCACGGGGGTATGAGCAGAGGTACATTCCCTAGAGGGCTGAGAAGATGACCTGCTTCTCAGAGCAACTCAGAGGTAGAGAAACCAGGGCCAACATCCATGAAGTATAAGTGGCTACTGTTTACCTCACAATATTTACTATGAGTACACGTAGTGGATCTGGGTTTGGCCCTGGGGAAACTTACGGTCCACTGGGAGTTGTTTGTATCTCTGGCTGTCCCGCACAATGCTGCCCCCACTGTCACTGGAGCTGCTGTTCTGACGGGTGACATTTGCTGGAACCTTGGGCACAGGAACGGGTGCTGGTACAGAAGGTGGAAGGGGGACCGGAACAGGTGCTGGCGTTGGAGGGGGTGATGGGGCAGAAGGAGCATCAGCTGATCTTGGACCATATTCCGTCCTTTGTTTCTATAAAAGACAATAACCAACCTGAAATATATGTGTGTGAATAAATATATATGTAAATTCATATATATATGTATGTATAATATATATGTATATATACACACACACACACACATATATGAATGAGTGTTAGTGTGGGTGAACTTAGGCTGGAAAATGAAGTACGAATTGACAGGCCATCATTCGATTTTTATTTGTAAAGTTACCTGTGCCAATCCTTAATAAATGTAGGTTTATATACGTATACTTTTAATCCAATATGATTTCATAGTTATTAAGACCATGTCTGAAGTCAGTGTGTGAGTTTAAAGAGTGACAAGCTCAAACCAAGAACAAATAATATCATAATCATACATGCCAAGAAAGCTCAGTTTGGGCTTGAACTTACACATGACTATGATAGGTTAGACACTCTGGTTATTTTACAGTTTAAGCGAATAATAATTTCAGAGGTGCTGAAAGTTAATAACATCGAGTGTCACTTGTTCTTGTTTTAAATGTAGACGACAGTGACAGTCAAAGGTCTTTAATCCTGTTGTTTACAAGAAGGGTCACGGAGCAATGTGTGAATCTGAAAAATAAAGGGGCTATGCTTTTAAAAAAATTAAAAGTTTAGACTGCTGTTATTAACTTTCTCAAGGTACAGCCCCTTCTACTACCATATTATTATTCCTGATTTATTCACATTGGAAATTTTCTTTGCTAAAAATGGGAATACAGGGGGTGGATGATTTTAGGATAAAGGCACAACTGGTCCTTCCGGCTGGGGATGCAGCTCCATGGTAGAGCATTTGCCCAGCATATAGAAGCCATATTCCAACCTCGGGTCCACAAAACAGAAAAGAGATGAGGAAAATCACAATACAGAAGGGGAGGGGGAGGGGAGGCAGGAGAAGGCCTGTATGCAGGGATTTGCATTTTAAAAGGAAGATGTGGTGAAGAATACAATTGAGCTATGAGAAAGCAATATTTGTCAGTGTTTCATATTCAACACGATATCCAAAACTTTAAATAGAGATAAGACAACGTAGCTAGCAGATAACTACATGCCAAAGACTCCAAGTTTTCCACAGGTGCATCTCTGCAGACTCAAAGATGCAGAGTTACAGGTGAAGTGACCTTTAAATACTGCACAGGCGCACAGTGTTAGTTAAATGTAAGGGTAGTGGATAAAATCCAAAAGGAAGCCTTTTGGAAATCTGGGGCTTGCGTTAGGGCAGTATTCACTTCTCACTTCGAAGTTGGCCCAAATATAAGGCAATCCTGATGTTTAAGTGTGCCTCCCTCCTGCTTCGGATTTCCTCAGAGATCTAAACCATCAACACACACACACCACACATTTACTTAAAAAAAAATTGTCACTCAAAAAACAACACAACAACAACCAAGGTGCCTTCACAGGAAGAGGACTCAATACCTGTGAAAGCTTCCTGGGAAGGGACCCTTGAGCTTTGTGGCTTTTTCCTTAAGGGTTATGACTCATCCACCAGCAGCTGGTATAAAGGTGGAAGAAGGTAAAGTGCTGGGACAGTGGGAGTGGGACTCAAGGAGGGCTGGACAGTGTTGCTGGATAAGGAGGGGAGGAAAGCAACAGGGAGAGCGTGGGGGGTAGGGATGGGACGAGGGTCAGTGGCTGCCACAAGTCAAGCAGGAGAGGAGGAGGTTTGTGATCCTCCCAGTGTCTCTTTTTAGAGACGCTTCTCACACATCCAGTAACGTGTCAGAAAGCATTGGTGTGTCATTACAAACCCCACAAGATATTTCTCTTATATTTGGGCCAAACAAACCAAACCAAAAAAAAAAAAAAAAAAAAAAGTAAAGCAATCCAAGCATAGCACACCACATCACCAAAAGTACCACTTAGCACACACCAAAGACACTTAATATATATGTTTTGGTCCCTAGACAAGCATGTCCTTTGCATGTCACTCCATGATGGCTTAATGAAAATCAGGTCAGTGTTCCAAAAGTGACAGAGTTTCAATGATTTTTTTTTCTTTAAAACCTCTGTCAACGAAAAGCGCTTCAGGCTCTGAGCGCCACAACGTGATTCATTCTGTCTGCCTTCATAAAAACAAGAACAGCTTAGTGTCTTTCTATCTGTGGAATAATACAGTGAGATACACAGAACGTGGTGACAGTGTCACAGGCAAGCGTGGAGATGGGCTCACCATGTGTTCAGGTCCCAGTTCATTCACCCCTGGACAAGGCAACGGAACCAGTGGACCTCACTCAACAATAGGTCGGCCGGTTAAACCAACTGGAAGCTTCGAAAGCCATATAAAGCCATTCTCGTGCTCTGTGCCATAAGTTATATTTACTTGCATATTCCTCTCACCCCTCAGTCGTCTCTGCCTGCTTCAAGCCTCCAACCTCTTGACAAGAGAAGGGAGAGAGGACCAGAGGCTCGAATCAGTGTGACTTATTCTGAAAGTCACTGAGTCAGGGCTGACCCCTTCACCTTCTGCTCTAAGTCCCTCCCCAATGTCTCTGCTCCTTTCTACCTACTGCCAAGCGCCTACTCTCTTCTTTCACATTCTGGTGCTGGGCTCTTCCTGTTGGAGACACAGACCAGTGACTCACAACTCACCTCAAGTCATGGAAGACTTCCTTGATCACACTTTACTCAGAGCCTTTCCTTCATGCCCCAAGGAGGCTGAGGCTTCAATCTGATGAGAAACCTTGGCTCAGGGCCATTCCGAGGAACCACCACTAAACTCCTACATCTCCACAAAGCTCCCAATGTAGCTGGGATGGACTCATGTTTGTATAATGCTGTCACTCCCTGAGTCCCATCACTGTCTCTCACAAACGCCAAGCTCCGCTGTACAAAGCATCCTGTGTCTTTCTCTGAGACAGAATGTCTCTGCCTCATGAGAAATGCACTTTCGTACTGACAATTAAGTTGGGGTGAGTCACTCCTCTTTAGGAACGAAAACTGAGTAAAAATTTTCAAACACTGAAGTGACTGGGAAGGACACGCCTGATTCCTGCACATTCCTGCTTCAGAGGGGAGATTATGCAAGTAAAACCTAACAAAGCCATCGGCAGAGAACTGGTCTTACAATTTTGCCCTACACCGAACAGCATCTTTATTTTCTCCCTTGAAATTTGGCCTCTCTGAAATTCTGTGCTGAGAACAGCACAGCTGGAATATTTGGAGGGTGTTAAGTCCAGAAACTGAATCCAAAAAAGAAAAACTTGATAGGAAGAGGACCTGCCAGGAGGGAACGGCTGTAAGTTACCTCTGACAGCTCGCCAAGTAATTGCTATTAGAAGACGGAGCAAACCACAGTAAATGAGAAAATTAACACGGGAGATGGAATTGAAAAAAAAATATCAATTATAATTTACATCAAATAACAGCAAACATGAGCAAACTGGTTTTTGACAGCAAAATTACCTGCCCACAAGTCAGTCAGCAAAGGCATTTGTAAATAAGTGATTAATCCCCACCCACTGGGCTCTACTCAACTTCCAGCTCAACATCCAGAGTAAAGGGCACAGTCAGAATCTCCCAGTATCCACTCTGCTCATTAAGGCATTAGGTGAAGATACTATGATCCAGGTTCATCTTCTTGACAGTTTAAAAAGAATACACTTAGAGTCAAGCACACAGACATAAGGAAACCATAGTTACCAGGATTGGGGTGGTGAGCACAGAAAACAAGGATGCAGGTCTTTGGACACAAAGTAGCAGATGTGGAGTAGAAGCAAATTGAAACTGAATGCTCCGTATGAGGGGCAGACTTGGTGATGGTGTAGTAGAGTCGGGTTTGCTGAAGGAGCAGATTATGGCTTGTCTTGTCGGGGGATGGGCAGCCATGTGACATGATAGGCTCGCTCTTCTACTTTTGTGATGATTTTACTTCATAGTGTATGCACTTGTAACATTATCTGTGTATGTACTTATATACTATGCATACACACACACACACACACACACACACACACACACAGGCAACATACACACATGCTTACCCAACAAAAACCATAGCCATCCGTGTTTAAGAACCCTGCCTCTAACTAATGGGGTAGAGTGAATAATTTATAATAACTTTTAAACCGAGGACTAAAAGAAAGCTGGCCCGGCTGAAGAATATGAGGTGATGTTAACAAGACGGCCCGTTCTCTGTCCAGCAGTATGTTAGCGTTTGAAATGAGTTTACACAAGACGTGAATGAAATGGGCTCGATCAATACTGCTGGTGGTTTCACAATCACCTCTAGAAACGACTTCCACCTTCCGTTTAAGGCAATTTAACATGGATACAGAGAACAGGGGAATTGTGTGAGTTCCTCTTGTCCACAGCCAAACAGGAACCGAGAAAAACAAAATTCTATGTCTAAAGGCGCACAGCTGGCTGCTCACAAAACCAAGGCAAGATCTGGACCAACACCAGAGCAGGCTTTCCATACAATTTTACAACAGCCAAGAAATAGAGCTGGGGTGTGTGTGTGTGTGTGGGGGGGTACTTCACAAGTCCTGAGAATGGTTTCTTGGACACTGGTCATTATTTGATCCCACCCCCCACTCCTTGGTGGAGTAAGAAAAAACTACAGAAATAATAAACACATACACCCAATATTTAACAGTACACAAAAAATAGTTTAGCCCAGCTGTGTCTGTAGTAGAAATAAGATCAGGAGGAAGTCATTTCTACCCCTCACACAGCAGGGGATCCATGGGAAATGGTCCTTTCAGAAGATGACCAGTACTAGCCTGGGAATCAAGTAAAAAGTTTATGTGGCAATAGACTCTGGATAGAAAGGAAGCAGTCTCGGAGTCATTTGTTGCCCAGATAAGAAAGGGAAAGTCCTTGGGGTGATCTACATTTTAACAGAAAGCCAAGGCATTTTTTTGTGCCTACCGAAAGCATTTACTCCTCTCTCTCCTGTGGCTTCACTGAAACACACACACACACACACACACACACACATACTCACAAACACATACACACATTCACATAGGCATGACAGACACACTTGCCTACACACACTCACATGCACAAACACACACACA